GGAGCAGAACTTGGGGGTCTTGCAGGGGTCCAGGCTAGAGGCAGAGGTAGTCTAGATTAGAATGAACTCCTGAATACTGTTTTCTCAGGGCCCCATGTATTTGCCTGTGTTTCTCACCACCCACCCCACCGTTCCTTCAGCAGCCAGCTCCCATTCAGCCCTAAGCGCATATTAAGAAATAACACGTATGACTTTTGTCTTCTCCAAAACTTAGTGTTTAGTAGTCTGCTCTACTTGTCAATAAACAACTGATTAACGCATACTTTGTTCATGTACCACGTGCTGTATTCTAATAATCAGGTAAACTAGAGAAGAGAAAGTGTTCCTAAGAAAAGCGTGAGTTAACGGGGCGGGGGGGGAGGGAAATGCACGGGACTATGGTGGTGGCACAGGGGTGATTTGGTGATGGGAAACCCGCGGGGATTACAATCGAGATGGAAAAAAAAATGTGCAAAATGATGTAAAAATAAACTTTGTAATAAAAAAAAAAGAAAAGCGTGAGTGGGTTATCATAAAGGTCTTCATCCTCATAGTCTTGCACTGAACAGGCAGGGGGCAAGGAAGAAGGAGGGTGGAAAAATCTGTGTGGGAGTGGACCCCACTGTTGAAACCACGCCCCTAAGGGGTCTGCTTGACACAGCATGGGGAGCCAGGCGGCAGCCACCGTGGGGGTGAGCACAGGTGTACAGCTGTGCAGGTGACTTGGGTGCTTGGAATGGGGGGGAGGAGGCATTCTCCTCCGTCTGGGGTAACTGGATCTAGTGTTTCACACTCCTCCACTGAATGAAATAGTCATCTTATTAGAAATGATTTCTTTTTATGTTCTATCCAAAAGGGCATTCATTTGGCAACACTGTTAATTACTAATTTATTCTGTGATGCTTATGGTAAACACTCATTCATTTAAAATATCCATAATTTCAGGAAGACATGGGATTCTCCCTTGCCCATCTGTAGCCCAGTCAGCAGAAAAGGTCTTGTGTTAGTGAACTTTTTTGCTTGTGTATTGAAGATGGAGAGTCCCTTATCTCCAAAGAGCCAGCGTTTACAGGTCAAAGATCAAATATCCTTGTAAGGTGGAAGAAATATTTAATCTGGTTACTGATGAGAAACAAACTAAAATAGTAAATATATCCTTTCCATGACTCCCCGTTAGACATCCCTCAGTATGAACTTAAGAAAGCTGGACAGTGGAAAGAATGATATAACCAGAGTAAAATACAGTGCTGTTATTTAAAACTTAATAACTTAAGGACAAAATAACAGGAGAGTCTGATTTCAGCCTCCTGCTTTCTTGCTGTCTGTGGGCCATACACTGCGGCCAGCAGGCTGTGGGCGCCCGCCAGACTCCCTGTTGTAAAGAGAGACGGATGCAGCATCATGCGATCACATGGGTGGGGATTCATAATTAGCATAAGCAAAAAAAAAAAAAAGATTTTAAACTTTTCATTTATACTGCCAAGTCCCTCTGTTTGTTTTCTAGGGATCTCTGCTGGAGAATATAAATCTGTAGCTCAAGGAGTGTTTGCTGCACAGCTTTGTATGAATAATGAATATTCTATTTCAGATGAGAGGCTTGGGCTGCAGGGTACCTGCCCTGTTTCAGTTACGTAGTCTCTCTGGTTAGGTGGGATGGGGTGGCTGGCTGAGAAGAGAGGCAGGCCATCCCCACTTGAATATGATTTTAACTGGATCGTGATTTATTTTTTAAAGCTTTTTGGACTTGAAACTCCAGTCACTCCATTTTATTGTCGTCTGCCCTGTTCCCACCCTTGAGTCTCTGAAAAGGAGGCGCAGAAGGCCATGAGGATACCCTGGGGCACCCCTTGGAGCCTGAACTAGAATTTCACAGCACTTGGATTCCCCTTTGCTCTTGAAACAGGAAGAATGGGGCTCCCATAGCAGCACCGCAGAGTTCATTTGGGGATGAGGTCAAGAGGGGACTTCAGTTTTATCCCTAACTAGTGCTTCTCGGTTTTCTTCTCTTCTGCCAAAAGAAGTGTGTCTGCTGAAGGATTAAACAGGAACACGGGGTTCATCCAAGGGTGGGGAGCATCTCAGGAGGACACCCCAGACTTTTACGTACCCATCACTGAGCTGCCTCTGGAGCCACGCAGGCACCGGCCGGCTGTGTGGTTAGTTAGCCCTGCCCGGATGCAACTGACCCCCAGGGAATGCAGCACACAGCTCTCCACCTAGTGATTGGGGATACCTTGCAGAGTGTGAACGCTCTTGTTGACGGCCAGGCTTTGGTACTTAGGGCACAGTGACCAGTGCAGATGTGGCCATCCTTGGTGACCTGGCCACATAGTGGACTGTCCGATTTGGTGGAGTCCTCTGTTACAGAGGACTGTTTATCTGAAAGGACAGAGCAGTGTTTCAACTTTCAAAAGATGAAAGGATTTCATTGCTAAATACGGTGAGAAGGTCAGATCTTGCACAAAATTTCCTAAACAATGATAGATGGAGCTTGTTCTCTGCACCCCCCCCCCAACAAAAGGCTTAAAAATTGCAAATCGTGATTCTATGGTCTTGGTATTTAGTAGCTATTTCCCCCCAAATTAGTAAAATTAACGTCAAGGAAAACATTTGACAGTTGCCAGTGGGAAAAAAAAATCAAGCTTTCAAGTGAAAACCAGAATTTTAGAAAACTTGTATTTTCTACCATAAGCTGGACAATTCCCAAGACTTAATAACTTCTGATGAGGTCAGTAATATTAACAAATGTGATTTTTTTTCTATGTTATAGTAAAATGGGTCAAAATTTAGAAGACTTGTATAATTCAATGCACCATTGTTTTCCAGAATTCTGGTTACAAAATCACATATGAATAAAAGGTTCATTCAGTGAGCAGGAGAGATACAAAAGAGAAACAGATGTGCCGTGAGTCCCATTACAAGGCTAGTTATAACTACACTAGCCGAACAGAAACAACACCTCTAGAGGCGTTTTGGTGTAGTGTCAAAGAGAATACCATACTTACCGGAAGTCTATTTAACGCTCCCCCTTTTCCAATTAATACCTATGTGAGGATGGATTGTCTTCATTTACTTCAACCAAGACTCAGACCATTGAATTTAGATATGAGAATTCTGCTGTTTATTAAACCAAATGTAAAAAAGGTTTTTAGGCATATAGGACAGCTCCCCACTAAACTTTTGTCATGAAAAAAATTGCTACTAAATAAGAATGTTACCTCTTCAACATAGAATGGGTTTATTTTTTAATTAATAAATATTTTAAAAATTTCTGTTTTAATTTCTGTATCACTAGTCAGTAAGTAGAGCCCACATAAGGGAAAGCTCTTTGGGGTTCTTAATAATTTAACTTGTAAAGACATCATAAGACCAAAACATTTGAGAAGTGTTGATTTAAACAGGACATACCTGTGGTCTTTTATCTGTGCATCCAGCTATGTGTGTGAACGCAGATAATGTACACTTTAAAATTTACATAGAAATAGAAATTTGAGGAAGATGAGAAATAGCAGTTCAGTGGTTTTCAGACCTTTCTGCATTGTAGGGCTAGACCCCCTGGACCAGAGATTCAGCAGCAGACTGCATGTCCATGAGCTTATTAGAAAACCAGAGGTCTAGAACTTACAGGAGCATAGCCAAGGTGCCGCTGACCAAGTCTTTAGTCGCTAGCTGGTGGTCCCATGCGAAGCCTAATGATAGGGACATGGTGTCCAGAGTGTGCCGTGAGAGGCGAGCAGCTGTGACCAACCCTGCAGAGACCCTCAGAGGAGAGGGGACGTGGTAGGCTCGCCGGCTGTGGAACAAGGTGCTGGCTGACTTGAGCACAGCTTAGCACATACTCTGCCTGGTCTTCAGACCATGTGAAGACCGGTTTATACTCCTCTTTGCTGTGAAGCGCAAGCTTCAGCTCTGCTCAGATGCTGCGGTCCTACAGAGGGCTCATTTCAGAACCTATTCTGTGCAGGGAGGAGCGTCTCAGACAGGGCCTGCCTCTGAGCAGCCCTAGGTGGACAGTCAGACCCTGGCTTTCGGGTTGGAGTCATCTCACCTCCAGGTGAGCATGTCCCTGGACTGTGCGCTCAGGATCTTTGTGCCCTGCAATGGCCTTGCTGCTCCTGTGTGCAGAGAGCGGGACAGTGCCTCAGTTCTCTGGGATTCCCCTATGGCCAGGGCAACAGCCCACATCTGTCTCTGGGGCTCAGACACATCCTAGTTGCCTGTGAATGCAGGTGCCCTGTTCTTTTGGTAGATTTGCCAAGGCTCAGGAACCACTCTGTCTTCCAAACATCACTGTCAGGTCCCCCATCCTGTCCTTTGCCTTCATCAGACCTTCTTCCCCCGCCCTACAATAGGTCGGCCTCTTCGGTGCCACCCTCTGCTGTTGCCTTTTAATTGTCTGGTTAATCCTGTCGAGGTATCATGATGGGCGTGTGCAGACGTGAGAGAGACACCAAAGGAAATGAGGGTGAAATATTGTTGGCTTGACACCAGCTCTGGATGGGTGATAGAGCCACACACAGAACTGGAAAGTTGTGGCTTAGAAGCAGAACTGGGGGCAGAGCTGTGCTCACCCACTCACCAGAGTGCTAGGTGACCTTGGGGCTCTGCTCCGCCCTGCCCACCAGAACCTCCGAGTGGGCAAGACACAGCTGCTCCATCCCAAGGGCTGCCTGGTTTGGGCATCCCGTTCTGTCTCACTCCCACCTCTGCTCTCCTCTCAGCTGTTTCAGGCTTCCAAGCTAATGTGTATGCTCCGGTGTACGTAGTCCTAACAGTTGGAGCTTCAGTGTGATGGGAAAGGACTGGAAGACCGAGGTCATGGTGCCGTCCCCCTTCCCAGCGTCCACCATGAAAGGAATTAGTGTGTGTTCTAACTTCCTTAACTGCTGAGTGTCCAGAGGGGAGGCTTAAACATTTGAATGAACAGGGTGGGAAAATGTTGGGTTTATTTTATTCAGGTAAGGTAAGAAGGCATTGTTCTCAGGTGTTCTCATATTTATATTTATATTTTCTCTTTTCAGGGATCAGCATCTTTTGGACCCAACGCCGGGGTACGTGAAGGTAGGAAACCAGGGTTTGACCGTCACTGGGAGCCAGGGGTAGAGTTTCCATTTCTGATGCAAGGATGCCAAACACTGTTGCAGGCTGACTGGGGGAGGAAGCTGGTTGGAGTGAAACAACCAGGAGGTAATTTGACTCTCTCAGGCCTTTGGTAGACTGTGAAGGGGCCTTACATCAGCCTTGGGCTCTTACATCATCCTCCTGTAAGTCTATAATCTCTTCCCCTTATCTGAAACTCTTGGACCCAGGTGGGTTTTTAAAATTCAGAATTTTTTTAGAGTGGTGATGTGGTCCGTATCTAACACCCCCAAAGGGATTTGGGGCCGGCACCCATAACCAAATTCATTATCTCAGCAGTGAATGTAAGGATATTTACATTAAGTAGAATAAAACAGATTTAAAATGATTTCATGTATTTTGGTCCTGTTTTGCTGGCCAGGGAGGCTGGATTTGTTTGCTGCCAAATAAGTTATTTATAGATTTTCAGCTTTCAGAGGTTTGGGGTTGGTAGATGAAGAATTGCAAACCTGTGTTTTTCTTCAGTGGAGGCCTGAAGCACCTGAGGTTTGCTGAGTTGCCCCAACCCCGCCCCGCCACCCCACCCCCCCCACACACACACCCTCCCCAGGCAGCACCTGCTCGCTCAGCAGCTTACCTGGGCGCATGCTCTGTGGCCATCTGCTGCTCTTCACTAGACCTGGCGTTTGATGCTTCTAAATATTCACTGTTTCTAAACAGCATTTTCTGTGAGCAGAAAGAAGCTTGTCATCGCTTCCCTCTTCCTCTGTTACTTGGGTGTACATGTTTGCTTTATTTTATTTTTGAGAAGTGTAACTCTGGTTTGTACTATAGAAATGGGAACTCTAAGTTTGCTAGGCTTTTTTTTTTTTCTTTCTTTTTCTTCTTTGGTTTCTAAGGGTAAAACTTAACTTTTTAGGAGAAATCACAGCACATTTTAGGGCTCAAGGTGGTGTGACCTTGGAGTCACACCCATCTTCCATCACTCCAAGGGTAGCGTCCCAGTTTGGGAATATTCAACCTGAGAATTTTTGTGTATCTGCACCTGCTTTTGGTATTTTCTTCACTTTCTAGACAAGATTTTGGCTGGAAGAAAGTTCTAGTATTGATAGAACCACTTGGTCACTTGAGGCAGTGACATTTTATCCCTCTAATGCCCAGATTATGTCTGAATCTTCGAAGCTTCACCGCAGCAAACGTGTAACCTCGTAAACCACAGGGGCAGTCAGGATTGGGTCTGAACTTTGAGTGACGCGTCTCAATCCTTCTTGGTCAGCAAAGGTGTGTTTGTGCAGAACTTGAGGGGATACTCATTGAGCCTGTTCTTGGACTTGACTGTCATGTAAAAACTGTGCCCTGGAATTACACAGCAAATGAATCACAGCAGCCTTTTAAAGTTCACTTTGTACCATGTTTCAGAAATTGTCTGTCTCCCATTCCAGTCCCACAAAGCTGTGCTTGGCAGGTACATCCCTGCCTCTGACTCCAGTTACTCAGTCTTTTCTTTTACAAAAGTCCAAACCTTTTTAAGATCACCCAAAGATGGATTCTAAAGCTAAACAGATTTTTGGAATGACCTGTTTCAGCTTGATCTGAGCAGTTGGATCTCATTCGTGAATATGGGTCATTGTGAGTTGAATTCTATGGAGTAAGAAGAGCTGTCGGAGTGTGGGTGGCTTTTATTTAGCTGTGCTCTCCCTGCCTTTCCCGGCACTGACAGGTGATAGAACTGCTCCTGCTCCTGGTGGCCCATGAGGCGGGTGGGGAGGCTCATTTTCAAAAGTCTGTGGGGTTGTTCAGAAGGTTCTCTTTGCTCCTAACCTTGTGTGAGTCTGGTCAGCTTTATAAATTAAGCCTCGATATGTCATCTTTTTTTCTTTCTTAATTTGCACTTGATTTAAGAGGGATGACTTGGGGATGTGTTAGGTGAATGTGGGGTGTTTGCATTTTCCCTACCAGCATAGAAGCTCGAAAAGCATGTTCTAGGGGCCTTTGTCCTCAAGCACTGTTACTCTTCGCCCAGCACAGGCCGCCAGACTTACTGCTCCGTCAGGCCTGGCTGGTGAGTCTATGCTACTGAGGCTGGTAAGTCTAGTTGCAGCCGAATGGAGGGTGACTACAGATAATCAGGGGGAGAGCTGTGGATAAAAAGGGGTGCAGTTGGCAGCCACCACCACCTCCCCCACCCTACCCTTGAGCTCTTCCTTCCCTGCAAGTGCCTGCACACTTAAAACCTCTTGGGTTTGGAAAGGTTCTCTGTAAAGCCCGTCATTTCTTGTAGAGTTGGGCTTAATCAGTCTAAAAAACAAAAGTCAAAATACCTCATTTTTAGGGATCCTTGTAACCCCAGAATGAGTGGGTCTGCTTTGGCATGGCCTCCTGCTGCAACACCTGCCCCCCCACTCAGTGCTCTGTCTTTTAAGTGCCACGCTCCTTCCCACAGAGACCGGCTCCCCTGTCTTCCCCCGTTGATCCTTGCTCAGCAGGGGTATGAGTTGTGTGGAGCTGCCCATGGGGATCTTTTCTCGTCATGGTTCCTTACTCACATCTGGCATCCAGGGCTGGGAATCTGTGGAGGCCCAACCCATGGAAGTAGTGGTTAGAGCTGAGGGTTGATGCTGTGGGTCCCTACCTGCAGGGCAGTCCGGGGCCAGCTGTAATTGTCAGGTGTGAGACCACCTCCCACACCCTGGGTCTGGGGAAGGCTAAGTGCTGAGGAGACTCCTGGGAGGATGGGGCCTCAGTGGGGCGGGAGCCGGCCAAGGATGCCCCCACGTATGGTCCTGTCCACTTTGTGCTCTGTGTCCTGCTGCTGTTCCACTCCAGTGGTTGGGGTTGCAGCTCCTTAATGGGGCGGCATGAAAGGGGGCCCTGTGGCGGTTGCTAAGATACGAGTAGCCCTTCTGTGCACCGGGGCTGGGAACCCCCAGGATTGTGGCCAAGTCCTTTACCTCCTCCCAGCAGCATCTGGACCCTAAAGGCTCAATTCCGTGCTTGGAGGCAATTAAAAAATTAGACCAGGTCCAAAGAGCCCCAGGGATTTTGGAATCTTCCAAGGTTTCTGTCTCCTTTCTCACTGTTAAAGAGGAGGTTTGGGGTTTTTTTTTCCCTCCTTTTTCTTGTTTTCCTGGCCCTCTCCTTTTTGCCATGATTTTTTTCTCTAACGTAGCTCAAAATACCATCATCTTGAATGTCTGATTTTTTTCCCTATGAGGTCCTTTTCCTTAATCTAATTGCTTCTCTTTCACTGTCTAAAAGTAACCTCCTCCTCCAGGTGGGAGAGCAAAAACTCCACCTCTGTAGTCATTAGTGATTTAGTTAGTGGAATATAGCTCTGGAATTTTCCTCTGCGTACTTAGCATACCTTACCCCAGATAAAACCAACTTAAAAAAAAAAAAAAAAAAGCAGAGCAAATAGCTTTCCGAGGAAATAGCCCCGGGCAGGCAAAATTATGAGGTAAAGCTGGTCCTCTGGACTGCTTTACTGTTTACTGTTCCATTTGGTTTTGCCATGGTTTTGTCCTGTTAAAACGCATTTACTCAGTGTCTAGTTTCTTAAACCTGCGTCGCCAGATAACGCCTTAGAACATTTGATTTTTAAAAATGTGCATCAACGATAACAAACCAGATAGCACTCCCGGTGCGACTCCTAGTGACACTACCCTATGCTCTCCAGGACAGGCGTCTGGTCCACCCGTGTTTCTAACCAGCAGCGTGAGCTTGGGCTTGATGCCACTTGTGGACCGTATCTCCCCCCCTAGAAAACCAGCAGGTGGGCTCGCGTCTCTTCCAGGTTGATATCTTTAGATTTTCCCAACCCTGTGATGGGTTGGAGGGGAAAGGTTTTTTTAAGCAAGTGGTGGGGAGCTTTGTTACTGACCCTGGTGATCATACAACTGCTGCATTAGTTGGACCCAAGGAGGTACTGAGCCGTGTGACTCAGGTGACACCAGGGAGGTGCTGGGTGTCACCAGTGGCACCAGCCCAGAAGACAGCGGATACACCCCAGTAGTCTGCATTCATTCTCGGGATCTATGATGCTTGAACCTCTGAACTTGACTTTCATTTTCTTCATTTGTTTCCTGGGGCTACTTTAATCCTCAGAAGTTGTGCTCTCCCCCACCCCCATAATAAATGTTAATATATTTCTTGTCTCTCTTCCCTATTTTCTAAAATAGACTGAAGATTCAAGTTCTTTTTTTTTTTTTTAATTTATTTATGCTTATAGAACTGGGGTATAAGCCAGAGGTGTGGGGGGTGAGAGGATTCACCAGAGACAGAGTAGGGAGCAGAACAGTTAGATCACTTTAAATACCCTGCTGAGGGGAGCAGAGGGCGGGTCAGGAAAGGTCTGCTGTGCCATGTGGGCACCTCCCTGGGCAGGGATTGAACTTGTGCTGCAGTGGCTTCAGAGAGCTTCATAGTGCTGCGCTTTAACCCGTTGCGCCACCAGGGAGGGCCCTCAACTTCTTAACTTCCTCATCTGTAGCCCTACAATCATTTTGGTAAAGCCTCTTTCCTAACGGTGGTTTAAAACTATATTTTTAGGGAGTGAGGGGGTAGGGCTCACTATGGCTAGTGATTTTCCTTCTAGAAGAAATGGCTTTTATAGATCTTTCACTTTAAAATAAGCTGCCCTTCAGAAAGATAAGTCAGAAACGGAAAAGAGCGAATTGAAAACTGATTGACAGGTCAGCTGAGGTGTCTGCAGCCAGGACCTGCACTGGGGTGAGGGCCCGCCCACTGTCCAGGCCACAGTGAGCAGCTAGCTAGCAAGTGTCCCCTTCCCCCCCCCCCCAACTGAAGGGTGGTCTCGTTCCCGCCATCTGTTGCAGTCACCTTGGTGAGTCCCTGCAAAACCACTTGGGATCTTTTGTACATGACTTGTGGTTTCTGAGCTCGCCTTGGACATTAGCGGGAGGCTCCCGACTGGGCTCTTGAGTGCTTTCCCCACAGTGCCCCTGCCCTGGGCAGCTCAAGAG